TCCCTTGACCAGGACAGCTGGCGACCATTCGTCGACGCATTCGCGCGCCATGCCAGTGCCGCATGACGAGACGTAGGCCGCCTGGAAAAACTCGTGAGGTCTGAGTTCGCCGCTGACCAGATCATCACCTCGCGCGCCCATCCATGGAAAGGTGCGCAAACCTGCTGCTCAGCCCCCCAGGTACGGAAGTGACGCGCGTTGCCGCTGCAGCCTCCTGCGTCCACGCAGGAGAGGCAACTGGCGATGGCAACCATGCCCACTCCGATGGCCCTCCATCAGGAATGTAATTCCCTCCGCTTGTCGTAGAGGTGCCGGAGGCCAGGAGTCCACCTCCGGCGCTGCTCGGGCAGGGTGCCTCGGGGCCACCGTGGGCACTCGCCCCCGTTGTGTCCCTCCTCGTTTGCGCATTGGGTATATGGTTTCAAGATGCAGGGCATAGCGCTGGCAACGCACAAACGCCAGGCCCTCCATGGTCTTCCCGCTCTGCCTTGCCTGTGTCTCCCGAGGCTCTTGCGACGCATTCACCAGAAGCTCGGGGCCCTTGACCGACACCGAAGATGTCAACGTTGCGCAAATCGAGCAACGGTCCGACACTCGTGACTGCTTCCAAAAACGAATGTAGCGAGAGCGTCGGGTCCGCAAGCTGCACCGACACAGTCAGGGCAAACCCGGGAGGAATCGCCGAGCGAGCCCGCGCGTGGCCGGTGTCCTGGAAGCTCTCGCTCGCGTACTTGCAATGCGGTACTCGTTGCGCGCGTTCCCGGTCAATGGCGCTGGAGGCGGAGGAGCGACTGCCCCAAAAGCGAATGGGAAGAAGCGCGCGAAGGCAAAGAAGGCGTATGACCTGCGGGACGGACAGCTGGATGCATGAAGGCGGTGGGGAACTGGAGCCTGTGCCGTCGAAGCGAAGCGAGGGCGAAACGCCATTGCGGTCGTGGCATTGGAGCCGAAGCTCTGCTACCAACTAGAGCAATGGATGTACGGGCTGATGGGTAAAAGGTCCACCTTTTCCGCGCGCGGCGAATAGGCGGGTGCAACGCGCGAGTAAAGCGGACTCGGTGCACTGATCAGGCCCTGAGCCAGGACAGCGGCGGGCCCAGGCAAGGACGGGGTGAACTGGGCAGAGCAAGTACCGATCGAGTATCACGAGCACGATGGGCACGACGAAACCCGAGGGACGAGGAGCACGACACGGAACACGAGGAACACAACGAGGAGCAGGAGCACGAGGAGCACGACAATGAGCACAAAGAGCACGACAAGGAGCACGAGGGGCACGGGGAGCAAATGCACGGAAAGCATAACAGCCAGGAGGACGGACAAACTGTTTCCTCAGAACATACTGCTTCCTCTCCCCATCTCCGCCCTGGGGCGTTGCCGAATTGGGGGGGGGCGATGGGTGGGGGGGGGTGGGGGGGGGGCGAGAGGAAACGTGCACGCCTCGTGCCCGTGTTGGCCCCCCGCGGGGGCCCCTTTGCAAGGCCCCTGAAGCGCGCGTGTGGTGAACCTTCCTTCGCCCCCCGTGGATCGCCCGCTCCATACTGGTCTGACCCTGCCCCCTCCGACTTCCGCCCGCCCCTGCGCCCGCCCAAGCCGCGTCTCCCCCTTGCCCCATCTCGCCCTCGCCCTCCTCCGCCTCGTCCTCGCCCTGGGCCTTCCTCCTCCTCCTCCTCCTCCTCCTCCTCCTCCTCCTCCTCCTCCTTCTCGTCGTTCTCCTCCTCGTCCTCGTCGTCGTCGTCCTCCTCCTCCTCCTCGACTTTCGCCCCCTCGTCGCCCTCGCGCCGGGCTCTTGCCCTGCCGCCCCTCGGCGCCGACGTGGACCGCCCTGATGCTGCCCCTCCCCGCCCCCCCCTCCGCGGCTCCTCCCGCCGCCCTCGCGCCCCGCGCCCGCCCTCGCCTCCTCTCCGCCCCAGCTCGGGCGTGCCCCCAGATCGGCCCAGGCCCCTCCGTGCGCGCCCCCCCCCCCCCCGACGACGACGACAACGACGACGACGGCGACGACGGCGGCGAAGACCACGAAGACGACGACGACGACAACGGCGGCAACGACGACGACGCAGATGACGACGAAGACGAAGACGACGACGACGACGACGGAGGCGGCGGCGACGACGACGACGACGGCGGCGACGAAGACGACGCAGACGACGACGACGGCGACGACGACGACGACGACGGCGGCGGCAGCGGCGACGACGACAGCGACGACGACGGCGGCGACGGCGACGACGACGGCAACGGCAACGACGGCGGCGTCGACCACGACGACGACGACGACGACAGCGACGACGACGACGACGACGGCGACGGCGACGGCAACGGCAACGACGGCGGCGGCGACCACGACGACGACCAAGAAGCGACGACGACGTTGGCGGCAGCGACGACGACGACGACGGCGACGACGGCGGCGGCGGCGGCCACGACGGCGACGACGACGACGACGACGGCGGCGACGGCAACGTCGACGACAATAAGGACGGCGGCGGCGACGAAAACAGCGGCGACGACGACGACGGCGACGACGACGGCGGCGACGACGACAACGTCAACGACGACGCCGACGACGACGGCGGCGACGACGACGGCGACGAAGACGAAGACGACGGCGACGACAACGACGAAGAAGATGACAACGACGATGACAACAGCGATGACGGTGATGACAACGACCAAGAAGACGACGACGATGACGACAACGACGACGGCGACGGCGGCGACAACGACGACACCGACGACGACGATGACAACGGCAACGACGACAACAACGACGACGACGGCGGCGGCGGCTGCGACAACAAGGACGACGACGATGACGACGACGACGACGACGGCGACGGCGGCGACAACGACGACGACGACGACGGCGACGACGACGACGGCAGCGACGACGGCGAAGACGGCGACGGCGACGATGACGACGACGACGACGACGGCGGCGACGACAACGGCGACAACGACGAAAAAGGCGGCAACGACGATGACAACGGCGACGACAACGACCAAGAAGACGACGACGATGACGACGACGACGACGACGGCGACGGCGGCGACAACGACGACGACGACGACGACGTTGACGATGCCAGCGACGACGGCGAAGATGGCGACGACGACGACGATGACGACGACAACGACGACGACGACGGCAGCGACGACGACAACGGCAGCGACAACGACGACGACGACGTCGACGACAACGACGACGGCAGCGACGACGGCGAAGACGGCGACAACGACGATGACGACGACGACGACGACGACGGCGACGACGAAGACGACGCAGACGACGAAGAAGACGACAAAGACGATGACGACGACGAAATCGGCGGCGACGACGACGCCGCCGACGACGACGACGGCGGCGACGCAGACGACGACGTCGACGACGTCGGCGAAGGCGACGACGACGACAACGAGGGCGACGACGTTGGCAGCAACGACGATGACGACGACGATGTCGACGGCGACGACGACGACGACGAAAGCGACGACGACGACGTCCCTCTGCCCCTCTTCCTCCCTGCTCCCGCTGATCCCTGCCCTTGCTCCTGCGCCTGCTCCACCTCCTGCTCCTGCTACTGCTGCTCCTTCTACTCCTCCTCCTCCCCCCCCTCCTCCTGCTCCTGCCTCCCCTCCTCATCGCCCTCCTTTGACCTCCTCCTCCCCCCGTCCTTGCCTCCCCCCCACCCTTGACCTCCTCCCTTGACCTCGTCCCTTCCCCCCTCCATTGACCTCCTTCCCCCCTCCTCCTCCCTCTCCCTTGACGTCCTCCTCCCCCCTCCTCCCTTGACCTCCTCCCTTGCCCTCCTCGTCGCCCTGCCCCCTGCCTGAACAGCGGGTGACCACCTGCAGGACCCAAGGAGTGCCCGGGCATCCCCCGCGACCTTCCCCTGGGGGAAGGAGGAGGAGGGGAGGAGGAAGGGGAGGAGGAAGGGGAGGGGGAGGGGAAGGGGGAGAAAGAGGAGGAGGAGGAGGAGGAGGAGGAGGAAGAGGAGGAAGAGGGGGAAGCTCGCGATTCGACCGGGCCCCTCTCCTCCTCCCCCTTCCCTCTTCCCGCTCCTCCTCCTCCCACGGGGGGTTCCACTCCCTTCCCTCTCTCGTCCTCTGGGGGTTCCTCTCCTCCTCTGGGGGCTCCTGCTCCCTGCTCCCCCACCCGCCTTCCCTCTCCTCCTCTGGGGTTCCCCATCCCTCCTCCCTCTCCTCCCTCTCCTCCCATGGGGGTTCCGCTCCCGCCGTGGTTCCCACCCCCCAACCCTGGGATCGTGCGGCAGTTGTCTCTTTTTCTTGTTTCTCTCTCTCTCTCTCTCTCTCTTACACTTTCTTTGTGTATATATATGTATATATATACATGAATATGCATTTGTGTGTATATCTAAAGGCATGTGTGTGTGTCTGGTGTCGTGGTGGCGCCGATGGCGAATGTGTATAGTTTGTGCTGATGGTCTCTGGAGCCTCACGTGCGCCTGGCAAACGTATGCCATGCGTTTGGATGGTATCTGGAGCCTCGAGCGTGCCTCGCCTGGCGGGTTTCTGGTTTCCCGAGCTTCTGGTTTTGATCCCCTGCCCCTGCAGATTGTGCCCTGGAGCGCAGGACGGACCTGCGATGACGACGCCCTCCATCGCCGCGCCCACTGGCAGCGGCACTGCCCCGACATGCCCAGGGCGAGAATACCCTGCGTTCGCGGATGGCCGAGGCCGAACCGGAACTCCTCCTCCACCTGGCGAGCTGGAGGCGTGAAGTTCCGTCGGATGGTGCCAATGGTCCCCGCCTGCCGATGCCGTTCGGCATCGCGGGCGGGGAGACTTACGAAAAGGGCCCGCTTTCGGCGGGCGGCCAGTGGGGGGGGGCGGGGGCCCTCCTCCACCTCCTCCTCCTGCTCCTCCTCCTGGTCCTCTCGCCCCCGCCTCGAGCTCCCCCCCCCGCGCCCCGGCCTCCCCGCCTCTCCTCCCCTCCCCCCGCGGCGCCATCCTCCAAAAGGCCCGGCAGGCCCCGTCTCCTGCCCAGGGGGTTGTAGGTGGGGGCCGCGGCCACGCTGCGCCACCTCGGAGGCGGAGCTCGGAGCTGGAAGGGGGGAGGGCGAGGGAGGAGCGGAGGCTGGGACGCAGAAGGACTTATACGCAGAAGGCATCTATACGCCACCGTGCCAGGCCAGGGCCATCCTGGCCCTGGCATGGTGTATACGCCCTCCTGGCCGAGGCCAGGAGAGTCTGTACACCATCCTAGGGCCTAGGGTGGCCCTGGCCTGGCACGGTGGTGGTGTATAGATAGACGCCTTCGTCAGAACATACTGGCACGTTGCGCCCTCGTCGGGGCGCCCGTCCGAACCGAACCCATGATGCAGAATGTCGTGTCGGATGTAGTCTCCCGAGCGGAATGGCCAAAAAGCGCCCGCCACAGAGCTTCTACTGTCTGCTATAAGATTTCTCGGCGCGCGCGTCGCCCCTTGTGAGACGACGCGCACATCGTATTAGAATTGTTGGGCTGGCGCCGAGGAGCGGATGAGGACGAGCGCCCCCGAGAAAGCTGCATCCCCAGTCGTCGACGAGCCCCCGCACTGTGCGGGAGGGAGGTCAGCTGAGAGACGCACACCGCGGGCGCCTCGGAGTCCGAGGCCACCGAACCGCCCAACCCTCTCCGTTTGCAGTGGAGGAGGCGATGTACGTCAGAAGGTATGGCGACACGCCAGCCGGAGGAGGCGGATGGATGGAGGCTGACAGTCAGTAGGAAGAGCCCGACTCTGTCTCGCTCAATCCTCCCAGAGAGAGAATGTAGACGGCCGTGCGCTCGCAAGGACGTGGCCTCGCCTCTATCCCCTGCACCCGCTGCTGCGGCCTTCCATTGCGATGCGCTCTCGTCGGGCTGACCGCTGGAAGCATTCGTGGGCCTCAAGGGACCTAGAACAATGCCCTGCCCCTTCTCAATCCGTGGATGCTGGCCATTCTGCATCTGGGAGAAGGGAAGGAGCAGGTGGGGGAGGCTCGGGCAGGAGTCCAAACTCGAATCATAAGTCGGATCAACGATCGACATGAATCGGATCGCCGGGAATCGGCAGCCAAGTCGGGAGAAGCCCAATCGGCGGCAGCGGAAATCCGCAGGCTTGTAAGGCCCCCATCAAGACACCGAAATCCAAACCAGAACCCGAAGTCGGATCGGCATCCGAATCGATCGAAATCGCATCGAGTTGGGGGAGTCGAGTCGACATCGATCGAGAGGCGATGATGCTAGACATCCCGCATGGCGAGACGCTGATGGCCGCCAGCCATTTGCAGGGCGGCCTCTGCTCTCGGGAAGAAGCCGCACTGCCTTCAAAGGATGGATGGATGGATGGACAGCGCTACAGTCGGCCCGTATCAGAAGGATGCGCGGGAAGGGTGCAAGGGCCTTGGAGGGCCATGTTCATGTCTTTCGAACGAGGCTGGCCAGCGAAAGTTACCAAGGATGGGCCGAAGAGACAAGGACGCACGGGTAGCCTTGGGAAGGTTGCCCATCCTTACCATGCGGGTCGACTGTAGGTCGAGAGGTGGGAACACCATAGGGCAGTGGAGAGACAAACAACTTCTGTTCCCTCAGAGGGTCGCTTCGCGCCCCGTCCTCGTTGGCCTTGGTTCGGGCAAGCAGGGTGGCCATTCGCTTGGAGGGGGGAGACAGGACCGAGCGAACGAACTCTATGGCCCATGGTGGCTAGCCACCTGTCGGAGTTAACTAACGGTCGGGAGCTTTTGCATAGCGTTATGTCGGGCGTGTCCCCCTGCAAGGGGAGCTTCGACGAAAAACAACAAATACGCTACCGAGGAACCCCACATACTTGATTTAAGTCCTATGTGTTTGCCTGCCGCGGAACTGCTACGCCTGCCGCGCTTTGCGAGCGTGCGACCCCTGCGCACCCCCCCTGGTGTGGAGGAAATGCCACGCCTGCCGCGCTTTGCGAGCGTGCCACGGATAGAGACCGCACCCCCTGCGCACCCCCCCTGGTGTCGAGGAAATGCTACGCCTGCCGCGCTTTGCGAGCGTGCGACGGATAGAGACCGCACCCCCTGCGCACCCTCTGGTGTCGAGGAAATGTCACGCCTGCCGCGCTTTGCGGGCGAGCGACGGATAGAGACCGCACCCCCTGCGCCCCCCCCTGGTGTCGAAGGAATGCCACGCCTGCCGCGCTTTGCAAACGTGCGACGGATAGAGACCGCATCCCAAGCGCACCCCCCTGGTGTCGATGCACTACCACGCCTGCCGCGCTTTGCGAGCGTGCGACGGATAGAGACCGCACCCCCTGCGCCCGCCCCTGGTGTGGAGGAAATGCCACGCCTGCCGCGCTTTGCGAGCGTGCGACGGATAGAGACCGCACCCCCTGCGCACCCCCCTGGTGTCGAGAACTACCACGCCTGCCGCGCATTGCGAGCGTGCGACGGATGGAGACCGCATCCCCTGCGCACCCTCCTGGTGTCCGAGACATGCCACGCTTGCCGCGCTTTGCGGGCGTGCGCCGGATAGAGACCGCACCCCCTGCGCACCCCCCTGGTGTCGAGGAAATGCCACGCCTGCCGCGCTTTGCGAGCGTGCGACGGATAGCGCACCCCCTGCGCACCCCCCCCGGTGTCGAGGAATGCCACGCCTGCGCACTTTGCGACCGTGCCACGGATAGAGACCGCACCCCCTGCGCACCCCCTTTTGGTGTCGAAATGCCACGCCTGCCGCGCTTTGCGAGCGTGCGACGGATAGAGACCGCACCCCCTGCGCACCCCCCCTGGTGTGGAGGAAATGCTACGCCTGCCGCGCTTTGCGAGCGTGCGACGGATAGAGACCGCACCCCCTGCGCACCCCCCCTGGTGTGGAGGAAATGCCACGCCTGCCGCGCTGTGCGAGCGTGCGACGGATACAGACCGCACCAACTGCGCACCCCCTCTCGTGTCGATGAACTATCACGCCTGCCGCGCTTTGCGAGCGTGCGACGGATACAGACCGCACCCCCTGCGCACCCTCCTGGTGTCGAGGAAATGCCACGCCTGCCGCGCTTTGCGAGCGTGCGCCGGATACAGACCGCACCCCCTGCGCACCCCCTGGTGTCGAGGAATGCCACGCCTGCCGCGCTTTGCGAGCGTGCGACGGATAGAGACCGCACCCCCTGCGCACCCCCCTGGTGTCGAGGAAATGCCACGCCTGCCGCGCTTTGCGAGCGTGCGACGGATAGAGACCGCACCCCCTGCGCACCCTCTGGTGTCGAGGAAATGCCACGCCTGCCGCGCTTTGCGAGCGTGCGACGGATAGAGACCGCACCCCCTGCGCACTCTGGTGTCGAGGAATGTCACGCCTGCCGCGCTTTGCGGGCGAGCGACGGATAGAGACCACCCCTGCGCCCCCCCCTGGTGTCGAAGGGATGCCACGCCTGCCGCGCTTTGCAAACGTGCGACGGATAGAGACCGCACCCCCTGCGCACCCCTCCTGGTGTCAAAGAAATGCCACGCCTGCCGCGCTTTGCGGGCGTGCGACGGATAGAGACCGCGCCCCGTGCGCACCCCCCTGGTGTCGAGGAAATGCCACGCCTGCCGCGCTTTGCGAGCGTGCGACGGATGGACACCGCACCCCCTGCGCACCCCCCTGATGTCGAGGAAATGCCACGCCTGCCGCGCTTTGCGAGCGTGTGTGTGTGTGTGTGTGTGTGTGTGTGTGTGTGTGTGTGTGTGTGTGTGTGTGTGTGTGTGTGTGTGTGTGTGTGTGTGTGTGTGTGTGTCTGTGCTGTGCTGTGCTGTGCTGTGCTGTGCTGTGCTGTGCTGTGCTGTGCTGTGCTGTGCTGTGCTGTGCTGTGCTGTGCTGTGCTGTGCTGTGCTGTGCTGTGCTCGGGTGAGGAGAGGAAGAGGGGAGGGAGGAGGGGAGCAGGGTGAGGAGGAGGAGACGCGGGTGCGCCGCGGCAGGGAAGAAAACCAGAACCCCACGAAACATGTGGGGAAATACCCTCAAGAATACGCCAAAAAGGCACAAATATATCAACACATAATCCCCAGACTATGTTTGGAGCATTTTTGGGTTATTTTTAGTATCTAATATTTTTTGTCGAAAATCCCCCTGTGGGGGGACGCGCCCGACTTACGCATAGCGTGTGGCCGCGGCGGCCCCAGGGACACGCTATACGCCCTGCAGGCGGGCAGCGTGTCGAGGGGCGCTCCGCGGGGCGGGAGAGGCTCAGAAACAAAAAAGGCTCGGGGCGTTGTCCTCCTCATCTTCCTCCTCCTCCTCCTCCTCCTCCTCCTCCTCCTCGTCCTCGTCCTCGTCCTCCTCGTCCTCCTCGTCCTCGTTTTCCTCCTCCTCCTCCTCCTCCTCCTCCTCCTCCTCCTCCTCCTCCTCCTGGAGACCGGGAAGTGGACGGCGTGTCGCGCCGAAGCGGCGTGGGTCAGAGCTGGCGGAGCGACACGCGAAACCAAAACTCATGGCCCGACCCGCTTGTCTGAGTGAACCATGCGGGCAGCACGGTCGACCCGCACGGTAAGGACGAGCAACCTCACTGGGGGGGCTCGTTGCATCCTTGGCCACGTTCGTGGGCCGCGCCCCGCTCGGACAGCCTAGAAATGGGTTTCTGAGGCCCTTGCATCCTCATCGCGCATCCCTGCTACACGGGCAATGCGCTAGGATCGGCCCTTGCAGCCTAAGACTTCCGACGGGCCCGCCCAACGGGACTGGGACCTTCGAGCCCAGCGTCTGCTGCCCACAGGTTGAGCAGGGACCGACCGTCCCGGCATTCATATAGTCCTACCACGATATGTTCTTAGAACCCACAAATGTTCAAATAATAAAAACAATGGTATTTGAACATAAGCCCGATGTGACAAAAGCAAGACAGTCCCAGCCAGAAATATTCTCTAAGAACACTCAGGTTCTTGGAACATTGTTCGGTAGGGCTATCGGCGAGCCGGGACGCTTCGCCACTGCTCGAACAAGGGGGTCTGCAGCACGGACGGGCGCCGAGGGCCGAGCACCTGGCGGACTCCCGCCCGAGGCATCGAAGCGGAGCACGGACCCCTCCGGAGACGGGCGAGGAAGGAGGAGGCCCAGGGGGACGAGGGCGAGAGGGATTCGCCATAGTTTCCAATATTTTCGGGGTTTTCGTCTTCCCCCCCCCCACTTTCCATAGTTCCCCATATTTTCGGGGAATCGACGATTCATTGTGTCTGTGTGTTTCTTGCCCTCCTGAGAGAGGGGGGGGGCGACTTCCGAGGTGGACGGCGAGGGCGGGCGCAAGGGGGGAGGGGGGGTCCGGGGGCAGGGGCAGCAACAGGGAGCAGCAGAAGGCGGAGGAGGAGGGCGGGAGTGCAGGGGGGAGCCACGAGCGGGCGCCCAGAACGGAAGGGAAGAAGCCCCCCCCGCCCTCCGGAACGGAGGTCGAGCCCTCCGATTTGGAGGCGCTGGGCATCCGCCGGCAAGCCCCCGATAATTCACCCGGGCATCAGACAACTGTGCAAAGTCTGCCTCCTCCACCACCTTACCATCCGCCTTCTCCAATCCACCATCATTCTTCTCCTGCTCACTCTCCTCCTCCTCGTCCTCCTCCTCCTCCTCCTACTCCTAATTCGTTGCTGCATCCCTATCCGCTGACTTGCGCTTCATCATGTTTTGTCCAGTCTCCTGCTTCCTGGATCTTTCGCCTGTCTCTCCCTTCTTGGCCCACCCCTCAACCCTTTCGCGGGCAAGTGTTCGGGCTTCTCTTTTTCTTTTCGGGCCATTGCCCGAGTCTGCTTGCGTCGCCATGCACGCCTGCACCCGCGCCTGGATACAATATTCCTCCCCCTCCTCCCTCTTCATCCTCCTCCTCCTGTCCCCTCCTCCTCCCCCTCCTCGTCATCACGATCAGCATCATCATCACCACCACCATCATCATTATCATCATCAACAGCATCATCACCATCATCATAATCAACATCATAATCATCATTATCGTCATCGCCGTCGTAATCATCATCCTCAGCAACCTCATCATCAACATCAACACCGTCAATATCAAACTACACGCAACATCACTATCGTCATCATCATCATAATCATCATCATCATCACCATCATCATCAAAACCATCATCAACACCCTCATCATCATCGATACCGTCATCGTCATCACCAACACAACCGTTCTCACCATCATCACCACCATACTCATAAGCATCAACAGCATCAACAACCTCCGCACCATAAAGCACCATCACCACACTCGCCAGCACCATCATCATCATCATCATCATCATCATCATCATCATCATCATCAGCATCATCATCATCATCATCATCATCATCATCATCATCATCATCATCATCATCATCATCATCATCATCGTCATCATCGTCATCATCGTCATCATCATCACCATCCTCATCCTCATCAGCATCATGCATCATTCCCCTTCCCTTCAAGGTAAACTTCGATAAACTGGGATCATAATCTTTCTGCGCCTCCTCCACTCCTCCTCATGCACTCCTCCTCCTCCTCCTCCTCCTCCTCCACTCCTCCTCCTCCTCCTCCTCCTCCTCCTCCTCCTCCTCCTCCTCCTCCTCCTCCTCCTCCTCCCCCTCCCAGTCCACGTCCATCCCCTCTCCCACCACCTCCCTCATCCCGTCCTCCTTCCCTTGCCTCCTCCCTGCAATACAACGCGCTGCAGGGTTAAGTCCGAAGGGGCAGCGCACCCATCCCGGCGCCGAGGACCCAAAGACCTGCGGGGTGTTGGCACACGGCGCGGGGTGGCCGCTACCCCGCAGGGTGTAAGCACGTACGAAAACCTCAACGGATAGCCCTGCCCCTTCTTCCTCAGGCCGGATTTGGGGCCTCGCGGACGTGACGCGTCAGACGGCCTGGGCCTGGACAGGCCCAGGCAAGAGGCGCGGTGCCTCCTCGACCTCTGAGGCGCGGGAGCTCGGCAGTGGCGGCGTGCTGCGCATGCGAGACGGTCTCGACAGCTCCCCCTCCCTCGCATGCGAGCCCGGCTCCCCGTCGCCCCCCCCCCCGCCCGTGACTGCGGCGGGGGCACCGCGGCGGCAGCAGCCCCTCGCCCTGCAGGCGGGCCACGAAGCCGGCGTGCGGGTGCTGGCCCATCTTGGGAGGCGTCATCGTCGTCCTCGCCGTCCTCGTCGTCCTTGTTGGTCTGGTCGTCGTCGCCCTGCTCGTCGTCGTCGTCGTCGTCGTCGTCGGCTTCTGCGCCGCCGTCCTCCTCCATCGCCCTGTTCCCCCCAAGGTAGCTCCTCCGCGTCGCCCTCCCACACGTTGTCGGCAGAGCGGGCCGGGCGTTTCGCCTGAGGCCTCCTCACCACTTACACACGATCCTGAAGCTTGAATTTCGCAACGGTTGCACGGCTGGAGGGGGGCTCGTTTTCAAAATGAGGCTCTCGCCTTGACTTGGCGCAGCTCACATTCGACTGAAAAGTATGCGACGGTCGCGAGGATGGAGGGCGTTTCAGATGTTTGTTTCGAAAATGGGGCTACCGCCGCAGCGCCGCGCACGTTTGCCCCACAGGGGAAGAGGGGAGGGACGAAATAGGGCTCTCACCATGGCGAAGCGCACATTCGAGCTCGTCAGACGGGCTGAACAAAATAGCTGTGGTACGGCCCTCCCTCTTGCCAGCACGCGCGCAGGAGCGACGAGGGGAGGGGAATGGAAGATACCTTCTGACTGCGCCGCTCCATTCCACTCCTCCAACAGGTGCATTCATCGGTGGTGGGCGCCTTTCCAAAATGTGGCTCTTGCCGTAGTAGGTGCGCACATTCGTTTTACCAGCTTGTCGCAGTTGCAGGGGTGGAGGGCGGTTCCTTCTCGCGTTGGGCCTTTCGCCTGAACGCCACGGAACCCGTCTTAAACGTTTCCAGCAACCACAAGGGTGTAAGGCGGTTCCTTTTCAACCTGAGGCTCTCGCTTCAGACTCACGCGCATCTAGCAACCAGAAGTGTGACCTTGTGCATTCGTTGCACGGACGGGGGGCGGGCACTTCATCATTGTCAAGACGGGGTTTTCGCTGGAACTGGTGACTCCACTAAACGTTCTGATCCATGATTCCCGCCGTCACCAAAGGTGCTAGAAGGAAGAATCACAGCTTCTTTCCAGAATAGGGCTGCCATGAATGGCAGGCAGAGTTGCTCGTCTTTCAAGGGGGGGGACTCAGGGTTAAAAGGAAAACCTTGCAAAGATTTATGAGCGGACTTGGGACGGAAAGGTGCGTTGCAGCATGCTTGATGCTTCCTGGATTCACGCTGGTCCCAGTCCCCCTAATGCTCCTCCTCATTCTGCTCCCTCTCATCCCTCCCCTCCTCCCCTGTCTTCTCCACGTCCCCTGGGTGGAGGAGGAGAGGGGATCCTCCTCCTCCTCCTCCCTCCCTCCCTCCCTCACTCCCTCCTTCCCTGCCTCCCTCCCTCCCTCCCTTCCTCCCTCCTCCTCCTCCTCCTCCTTCTCCTCCTCCTCCTCCTCCTCCCGCTGCTTATCCTCTTGCTCCTCCTGCGCATCCTCCACCTCCTCCGTATTCATCCTCCTGCTCCTTATCCTCTCCAAGATCCCTTCCCATATCCTTGAGCTTCCAACATGTCAGGACTTTCCAAACAACCGGTGCATTCTCTAGAGTGTCCGTGCATTGGATCCATCCCACAACATGCAACACATTTACCTTGCAAGGGGCTGGATCCGCGACGTCTGACAGGGGAGGATGACGAGGACACGGAATGATCATATCAAGCTGCTCTGAGGGCTCGAGTTAACCTCGGCCGCTGGGTAGTGTTCGAGTGACCCTCCGAAGCTTCTCTCTTGCTACATCTGGTCAGCATGGACCAGCGCGATCGTGACGATCGCCTGGCTTTCAGCAGCTGCTCTGATGAGCGCCGGCTCGATGTCTGGAATCGCGCGCCGCCGCTGTCCTTTGGGCTCGCCGAGTCGACCCCGCCGCCGTCATGAGAATGGAGGCCCCAAATCGGAAACTGGAACATATACATTACCAGTGGCGGGCTGCTTGTCAATCCCAAGACTTGTTGAGGGTCGGGGAGGACGTCTGGGTGGTGTGGTGTGCACTTTATCTCCGCTTTCCCAGGGAAGCGACGAAACATGTATACACCAAGGTCCCGTATGCACCAAGATCCGCTGTCCTGGCTGCAGATTTCAACACAGGGCCGGAAGAAGCGTCTGTGCATGGAGTTCGCTTCCCTGCCAAGTGCTGCGGTGTGGCCTGACGGCTGTGCCGCACCGAACGCCCCAGATTCCTTCTGACCTCGGCAACGCTGCTGCCCTGTGGACCTCGACACCTGACCGGTGGAGCCGCCAGTCCCCCCCCCTGCCCGAGCCACAGAGCAGGGGAGCCGCCCACCACTTCCTGGCCAGAACGCCTGCGCCCCGTGGATGTCCCTGGGCACCCACGGCCCTCTGAGCTGCTCGCGCAGGCAAAGCACCAAGGAGGCCCCTCGGGAAGAAGAGGATGGGGCTAGGAGCAGGGCACCGGTCCCGCCACATGCGGCCAGGCGCCCGTGCCCCGTGAAGCTGCCGCATCTCAAAACTTGCTGAAACGCCCGGGTTGGCAAGGCCCGTGATGCCGCAGCCTCTCAAAGTAGAGGGCGGAAAATCCACCCCCATACTAATCACCCCGACACGCGAAGCCGTTTGGTAAACGCACCCAAAGAAGGAATCAAACGGGGCAAGGCTGTCTAGTAAACGCCCAGGGCCGTTGCACGCGCACCCACCCCCCTCGCGGAGAAAGGGGGGAGGTGAGGGTCGCTCTTTTTCTCGAGCAACAAAGGGCTGCAGGATTTCCTGGATCCTCCAGGACAGTCTGATTATATTTTCTATAATCACATATATGTGTAAAACTACAAACTTCCCAGCACCTCTCCTTGGGCGCTGGAAGCGGCTCGGCCTCCAGCCGAGAAAAGTGAGCTACAGGGAAACCACTTTGTGCTCCCTTAGCAGGCCTCGCAACGGCGCTGCCCACCTAAGCCCATCGCGGGGCTAACCGCAGAGGGCAGGCGCGGGGCAAACCGCAGCCTGTAAAAGAAAGCTCACCTTCGGCTGTCGTAGTGCTTCCTGCGACCATTCTCCTGGCCCTCTCCGTGGATCACCTGAGAGCCTCTGGAACGGTCTCAGCACTCGCTCTTGAACGTCTCGATCCACTTCTGCGCGGCCTCTGGACTGCTGATGTCCTGCAAGCTCAGCTTGGCAAGAGGTCCACGCGCTGTAGCCATCACCCGCAGCTGCTCGATCTCTTTGGCCTGGCGATCCGACAGAACACACCCGTGCTTGATCATCCTCGTGACCAGGTCCTCCTTGATCCCTGACACGGCCAGGCTCTTGGCCTTCAAGACAGCTCGCAGGTCAGCTACAAGAAACGTGCTTAAGAGCTTGTGCCTTGCTCCTTTGTCCTGCTGTACACACACGGTCTTGAACTCGACGTCAGCCCGCGCAGATGGTGTGCAAGTGCTTCCAGAGGCGGGGTTAACCGCACCCTGGAGGAGGAACTTGTCGTAGAAGTTCTTGAAGTAGCAACCACACCAGCACCCCAGTAAAAACACACTGGCTGCAGTCACCACAACAAGTCCCAACTTCAGGAAGAACCAGAACTCCTCGCTGTCCACGTAGTGGCTGACAGGCGCGGGGCAAACCGCAACCTCGTCAGAACCTCCGTACACTGTCACCTTCTCGCCTGACACCTTCGTCACGACCTCCGTGAAAACTGCCATCGCGCTCAAGCCCTTCAACTGCTTTCCGAACCTGAGGTTGAGAGTGGTGCAATGCTTCTCGATTGTCGGCCACTCGCTGTACTTCGTGAGCATGTCGGCTGTCATCTTGCTGGTGTCCTCTTTGTGAAGCTCGAACGCCTTGAGACGCAACCGCTCCTGAATCCACAAGTACCTCAACTCCAGGTGCCTGACCTTGCCCACCCCAACTCGGCTGCACATCCCACGTCCAGCTGTGCTGTCACTATAGATCTTCAGGTTGCAGGGCCTCTGGGTCTCGATCAGGTAAGTCTTACACTGAAGTCCTCTGGCTGTCGCACTTCCCGTGGCATACATCTCGGATTCCCCTGAACTTAGGGCTATCGTACTCTGCGTCACTGAGTAGCAGTCCCAAGTGTGGTCACCATACCTCACAGCTCCTCCACTGGTAGATCGCCGCTGTAGTTCACTCGTAGGTGCCCAATCCGCGTCACCATCTACACGAATGCCTTCAGGAGTACCTTGAAGTGGGTAACACCAGACCAACACAGGCTGTCCTTCGTAGTACCTTCCAAGCCGCTGAACACGCGCATGCATCAAGACGTTCGGGTTGGAGACGTGCTGCATCGCTGTCTTGCTGGCGTACATCGTGTCGGGCCTGTCCGAAGAAAGGTAAAGAGCGGTGCCAGCTGCACCCGCCACTTCTCGAGCACGATCCTTGGAAAGAAGGTCTAGGCTGTCTCGTCGGCCTTGTCCTGTAGCTTTCGTTCCTGGAGTGGGAGCTGGTTTACAACCTCGCTTCTGCGTCCACTTGATCATGAAGTCCACATGCTTGGGATCGGCAGTCCAGAAGAAACCTGGCTCCTCGCAACCTGGTAACTTGTCGGTGTAGCCGATCGTCCTCTTGAGGTATGTAGTCTGCCCTACCGCTCCTGGTCCAAGTCTGGCGCTGGCCGTGACCTCAAACTGCTGCTTCAACAACTCGTCCAGCTCGTCCAGCTGCTCGTCGTAGCCTTCAGCAAGAAAGTCATCGCCATGGCAGATCGCTGTGCTATCCTCGTCGAAGGGGGCTGTGTTGGGGCTAGCAGGTAAGTAGAACACGTTAGGAGTTCCGACCAAGCATTCCCAATGACCGTCGTCCATAGTAGTTCTCACAAGCTCACCCCACATCTGCGACGCCTTCCTGGTACCGTTCATGGCCTTGCGTAACCACCAGCACCTTCCAGGCGGACACAGCTCTCTCCCAGGATGCACGTAGATCGTCTCGTCTAAGTCAGCGTTGAAGAAAGCCTTCCTGACGTCCCAGACTTGTATCTTCCGCAGGTGCTGCCCGCTGGAAGTTGGACTTGAAGCGGCACGGCTCAGCGTCGCTCTGACAATCATGAGCGGGGGCGTGCCTTGGTGGTTGTCCTCCCTGACCTCGTACTTGTTCACCTCGGTTGCTACGAACCTCCACCTGACCTTTCCTTCTTTCATGTGGGCTATCGGGAAACCTCCAATGTGCTTGCCGTCGGTCGCCGTCGATGTCGCCACTTCCACGTAGACCCCGTAGTCCTTCATGGCCTGCAGCTCGTCGTCGCGACCCTTCTGATACAGGTCCTCATCCAGAGGCTCTCCAGTGTAGTAATCGTAGTGTATCGTCTTTGGGCTCCACTGGTCTTTCTCATGCAGCTCGGCGCTCACCTCAACCATCTGCTCCACCTGTTGCTCCTCAGGATCTCCTAAGTGGCTCCTGATTGTGCCGATGTGGCTCATCAAACATCTCCTGCATGCACACTCAGCTTGATGGCATTCTCGTAACTGGCATCGTGATGAGTGCTTCTCACACCTCTCGGAACATCTCGCACTGCGCTTTGGGTGTGGATCCCACATGGGGTCGAAGCTCTCGTCGTAGCCCTCCTCGCAGACTGCCAACTCACAGACAGAGAGATGCCCAATGCTTGCTACCCTGGGCTTCTTGACCTCAGCTCCTTCACGAACTTCACCTGGGGCACTTCGCCGAAAGTCGCTCCTGAGCTCTCCACTCTCCGTGTCCATGGCTGTCTGCACCTCAGCCTCTCCTGGGCCAGGAACCATAGCTACGTCGCTGGCAGCAGGTGCGGGGCTCACCGCAACCTCACTGCTGCTTGATGCCGCTGCTCCTCCGGGTGCGGCTCCAGGCGCGGGGCTTCCCGCAGCCGGCGCTGGCACCACGACTGTAGCCTCAGGGGCCACAGGGTCCTTCGCCAACTTCTCGCGCAGCAAGTCGGCCTGAATGGTCTCGAAACGCTGTCGGCAGGCTGCCGAATGCGAACCGTATCCTGTACTGCACTTCCTGCAATCGTCGGTAGGACCATGAGCATCGATCATGCGCTCCGTGATGTACATGCTGCGTCCGATGGTTCCTGAACTCTTGTCGGGCGTCTGCTTCCAGGGCGTCACCCTGATGTGCTGGATGAGCTCGGGCTGCCACCTGAACTCCTCAGGCATCCTTCGCACCGTTCTGACCTTCTGCACTCCACGTTCAGGATCGATCACGAGATGTGTGTCGTCCAGCTCGCTCTTACCAACCCAGATTCCTTTTGCGAAGCGGGCTTCCCATTTGCCACGTCCCGCGGCAACTCGGGCTGAGATCCGATACCAGACCTGCTCACCCATCTCCGCAATCTCGCCGTTGTACTCTTTGCCGTAGAGCATCTTGTAGGAGGAACCTCCGTGACTGCGAGGCTGGAATCTGGTGATCATCCACCCCACCGAGTTCACAAGCCATGGCACGATCGGATCCGTCATCTTGATCTCGCTGCCCAGCTTGTGCTCCAGCTTCAGCTTGTAGGCTCGAAGTAGACCAGCTGCTAGCTTGTTACCTCCTTCAGCGTAGCCTGCACTCTGCTTGGAAAAGGGCGGTGATCCCCGCACCAAGGTTGAGTGTGATCTGCGATCTCGAACTGCCTGCGCCAGAGCCATGGTGGCAGGCTCCTGGTCTGTCTGAAGTATGACTGTTGTGTGACCCCAAGCTTCCAGCACGCCTAGCAGGAAGGACACCTTGTAGTCATCCGTCTCCTTGTTCGCGTACAACGTCGCCTGAGCCAAGATCTTACAGTCGATAACATTCAAGACAGAGACCGCTTGGTCTAACTCGGCCTTCGTGACCGACGTCTTCTCCCTGATGCTGAAGTAACCTCCTTTAAGCTTGTACTTCGCAGCCAGCTGGTCCGTCCCTACGTAAAAGATGTCGAACACCACCTTCGGTATCTTGTTCTCATCAGCTGGTTCCTGAGCGTGGTGGGGGTCATCGTCTGCTCGAGCCTGCACGCAGATGGGACACCAAGGCCGAAAAGGTAGATGATGCCCTTCGTGCGCGGCCCTCTCCGCAGCACTAGGTTGATGAGGAGTCTTCAACACTCTCGTTGGCACAGTTGTGGTCTCATCGGCTTCGGGACCTAGAACCTTCGGCAAAGATCCAGCTTCCTGTTCAGCTGGTACCTTCCTTGGTAGTGTCTTTCGTACCGCAGCTACCTTTGAAGCTTCTGGTTGAGTCTGGCCGTCGATGATGTGATCGTACTCTAAGTAGTAGTTGCCTTGGTGACGACGTAGAGGTACGAACTCAGCTCCGTCAGGTGGCTCGATGGTACCGTTGATGATCCAGTGACCTGCAGGGCTATGAAGAACACTCTGACCACGTTGTACTACAGCGTCTGTAGCCACAACTGGGTACTCCACATCGGCAACCTCAGCACCGACTTGAATAACCTCTCCTCCTCGGGATAGGTTCAGCTCCACGTGGCCGTACCTCTCGATCTCCTCGCCTCCTATGCCCTTCAAGCCGACAACGTTGCTGTCCGTCGGCGTGTAGTTGTGCTTGGTCACCTGTGACCTCGGTATCGCACTGATCTGCGCACCTGAATCTAGCATGACCGCATTCCGAAGCGGGGCTAACCGCAATCGGTCATCCGCAGGGCTCTGATCTTCATCCACGGGCCGAAGACCAGCGATGGTAACAGGCCTGGGGCCGGCCAGCGCGGGGCTCACCGCAGCTGGCATATCGCAGTACTTACAGCCGTCAGCGACGAATCTAGCCTTTCTTGCGCTTCTTTGGCTTTGGCTTCTTGTTGTCGTCTGGCTCTTCCCCGTCCTTGAAGCTGTCCAGGCAGAACTCGGCACACACGGCACAGTAGTCCAGCTGCCACTGATCGTAGTGCCATCGCCATCCTTCAAAGGTCTTCTTGCAAGAGCAGCAGTCGTATTGGTAGTAGCCAGGCAAGCAGTACTTCCAGTCGATCGTGTGGTTGCGCTTCTTGTGACCTCTGCCCTCAGGGCCAGAATCATCTTCGCTTGTAGCGCACAGTTGACTGGGCGCAGCACCTGCTGAGTCATCGCGCTGTCGGCGCTTCCCTGACTTCCTAGCATCTGTTGTGTCGGTGCTGCCGAGCTTGATCCTGTGCCCACTCCTGTCTGTCGTAACCTTTCGAGCTCCCTGACTGCCGCTGCCCCGATCTTCTTCTTTTCTTTTGCCTTCTCTTTTCGGAACTGCTTCTTGTCCTTCTTGTCCTTCTCGGCTGTCTTCTTCTCGTCGGCGATCCGCTTTCGGCAGTTTGCGCTGCGGTGGCCCTTCTTGTGGCAGTAGTTGCACTCGATCTCGGCGTCGGGATTCGTTGGCTTCTCCTTGCCTTTGCCGTCTTTCCCTTTGCCGCGGCCTTTCCACGGTCTCTTTCCGCCCTTCAGCGCTCCGATCTCCATCGGGTCGTCCTGAACCGCTCGCTCTGCCATCAACGCCGACACTACCTCGGCTCTCAGAAGCTCGTACGTACTTAACCGACTGCTGTTCCGAAACACGTGCTTCTGCAGCTCGTCGTGATCCTTCAGCGCCTTTGTGAGGATGCCGCGCTTGATCAGGTCCGAGACGGGCTCTCCTGCCATCTTCTGGTACCTCGCCATGTCCTCGTCCAGCTTGCTGATGCTCACCATCACGTCTTCCTTGGCGTCGAACTTCGTGTCCGTGAGCTTGGTCCACATCGCCAGCACGTTGCCTGCCTCGCTCGGGTTGTACTCCTTCTGAAGCTTCCTCCAGCACTCGGCTCCTTCTCCTACTGGGCTGTTCCTCACGATCAGCTCGCCCACCGAGTCCTCGGGCATGGCCAGGACCAGGCCGTAGTACAACTGCGTGCTGAGTTCTTCCTCCTGCGGGTCCAGGTTGACGTTGTCCACCTCCTGGGCTCCGTCCTCGCACCTTTCCAGAAGATCTCGGTACCTCCGATCCTGGGCGATCAGGTACGCTCTGTACTGGAAGCTGAACGTCTTCCAGCTCGACCTTTGGCCGTCGAACGGCTTCACCTTGTGAAGGATCTTCGGATCCATCATCTCGCCGCGCGGGGCTACCCGCTGCTGCTGAGCCTGCTGCTGAGCCTGCTGCTGACCTTGAAGCTGTCCTCTCATCTCTGCGATCGCCACGTCCCTGTTCTGAAGCTCCTGCCTCATGTTCTGACTCTCCGTCGTCAGCCTCTGAACTTGATCGACCAGTTGCTGCAGCTGCTGCTCCATCTTGGTCGTCGAGCACGTCAATGACACGCTTCTCTAGCCTCTCGATGTCGCTCGCCAGCTGCCTCTTCACCGCTGCTCGCTCCTCCTGAGTGAGCTTCGCCGCGCTGCCGCACGCTGCAAGCTTCCTAAAGGCGCTCCCTCGGAGCTGGCGGTGCTGACGCGTGTCCGCCGCTCTGCCTCCTCGCTTGTTCGGCTTCTTGGCCTTCAGCGTGGCCTTGCCCTTGCCCTTGTTGGCTGGCTGGCCTCCGCTGCCAGAGCGCGGGTCTGACCGCAGCTCTGACCAGCAAGGGCTACTTCGTTCGGCGGCCGCGTGGATCGTCCCGCTGGCCGCTGGACCCGCGGCGTCGCGCCGCTGGGCCCTCTCGAGGGGCTCCTGGAGCTCGCCTGGGTGCGGAGCGGCCCGCGAACCTCAAGCGAGCTCCGCTACCATGCACGCGCACCCACCCCCCTCGCGGAGAAAGGGGGGAGGTGAGGGTCGCTCTTTTTCTCGAGCAACAAAGGGCTGCAGGATTTCCTGGATCCTCCAGGACAGTCTGATTATATTTTCTATAATCACATATATGTGTAAAACTACAAACTTCCCAGCAGCCGTTCAGTAAACGCCAATTGTCGGGTCCGGGTGGTTTTTCCTCCCTTGACAAAGGACGGGGGGGTCAGGGCGGGTGCCGGGGACGTCAACTGACAACCTGGGCCTGGCCGTGTCCAGGCTGGGCCCGGGACCAGTGCGTCCGCCCTCCTGGTTGGCCCCCCGCACCGAGCCCTGGCTCAGGGCCTGGCCAGTGTCGGTGGAGGTGGTCCACCGACGCCCCCCGAGCATCGGGTGCGTCCAAAAGGGGGTCAAGTCCAAGAGGGGGGGTGGGCATCAAGGCGTGAAGCATGTGCGCGGCCTGGGGGGGGGGGGGGGGGGCCCGGGACGCGTGGAAAGACGATAAAGGGCCGTGGAATCTGAGGAGATAGCGTGGCCCCTGGCCATGGTTTCCAACCCTCCTTCGTCCTCACCCCCCTCTTGGCCGCACCCAGGAGCAATCTGCCAGAGGGCCCGCGCGGCCCGTCCTTGCAGACGTCCGCGAAGACCGCAGCGCCGAAGCCGGGCAGCAGCTCGGAGAGCCCGGAAGGCACCGCGCTGAGCAGCGGGGCGTCCACGACCTGGAGGGCCACCGCGCCGGGAAGGGGGCCGCTGGCGGGCGGGCGAAGCACACTCCTGAGCAGCACTCGGCACGAGCATGCAAGCAGCGAGCGTCGACTCCAGCCTGCTGGCTTCTACAAGTCTCCTGCCCGACCGTGGGCGCCTCCCTTTCTGCGAGGGTGCCCAAACTCCCTCTGGCCTGCGAGCCGCAACCCCTGACCCAGACCGAGGGGAAAGCAAGCCTGCGATTGTCGCTCCTGGCCGCCTTCGCGTTGCCAAGGTTAGGTCGGGCATGTCCCCCTACAGGCGGATTTGGGACAAAACCTAGAACATACCACACAACAGCCCAAGAAGAATCAAAACTGGTCGGAACATCGTCCCCAGACTATTTTTTGACTCGTTTCGGGTACTCCTCCTGCAGAGGGACACGCCCGGCTTCATGCCAGGGCGGCGGGCGCGCGCACCACTCAGCTCGCCATCGCTCGGACGCCCGTGCCCCGCGCGTCCTTCGGCCCCGTGCGCGCATTTTCTCGCAAGGTGTGGCCCAGCAGGCTCCCCGATGGTCCTCGCCGAAGACGAGGAGGCCCACGCCCGAGCGATGCCAAGTCAAACGATGTTTTTTTATACTGAATTCGGACACCGATTCTTTGAAGTCAACAACGATCATTTTGGAATCCAGAAACAAATTTGCTGGAATTGAAAAACCTAAAACCCCTGGCTCCCACTGGCCGATGTACCCCTCAGATGGGGGTACAGGCCGCTCCCTGCAGATTCCGAAAGGGCACATCGCATGTCCCCAACTGGGGTGGTCGATGCTCAACTCCAACGGAGGCAGGGACCTGCGGCGGTGAGATGGTCCTGGCGCTCGGAGCATGCAGGGGTCAGCGCAAGAAGCGAGAGATGAGCAAAGCAAAAATGGTCAGACCACCACTCCAGCTGCACCGTGGTCATCCTCAGCGGGCCGATACATACGCTGCGTCAATGCACGCCCAAACAAATACTGCAACTTCCCCCCTCCCACTGTCCCCGCACCCAGACACATCTTTGCTCCCAGCTCAGACCTTTTCAGGACGACGTCGCAACCAACCTTTTGCACGGAACCTGGCCACAGCGACGCTGTCCCCCGAGTGCCAGCCAAAAGGAACACAGGCGCAGTGCCTGGTGGGCAAGTCTACCCACTTCCACCACATCATGACAAAGCTGCGAGCGAATGCATATTCACTGCCCGCTCCTCCAGGCGGCGCTTGGCGCGCAGCGCCGTCGGGACGCCATTGCCGTAGGATATGATGGCGAGGTCGGAACCATCACCTACGCGGCCCACTGGCGCACGTGTTGCAGCTAGAAGCAACGGCGCAGCTGACGCGCAAAGTACTGCAAGCCTGCGAGGCCACAGACCTGACATCGATCGATCATGCGCGCGCGCATCTGGAATATTCATGTCACGGTGCCTCTCTCATCGTTTCGGATATCCCAGCCACTATCCTGTTTTCTGGTCGAGACTTCGGGTGGCAACACGTATCGCCCGGACGTTGCCTCCAAACTGCGGGGACGAAACCTGCAAGCAGGAGGCCAGCGTGTCGCGAAGGATGGGAGCGTCCAAGATGGCTCAAGATAGCGCCAAGAGGGTACCAGACAACCCAAGACGGCCTCCAAGATGGTTCAACATGGCCTCCAATCTACCTCCAAGAACACTCAGGGCCGCCTCAGGACGGCTGCAAGTGTTCTCCGAGCCTCTGGAGGACCCCAGGAAGCCAAAATCGTTCAAAACCATTATGGTGTTCTGTTAGAGGCCTCCTAGATGGTGTCCGAGTAGATGGGGTCGCAGGATCTCGCCGCATCGCCCGATGCATCTGCATGCATCGGCAATGTCGGCAGTGCATCGTCGACGCCAGCGCGAAGAGATCGGGCTCCACCTCGAGACGCATCGGCGATGCGACGCGATCCTCCGACCCCATATACTCGGACCCCATCTAGGAGGCCTACATCAATGAGTTTGAACTTCGGCTCCAAGATGGCCCAAAAGAGCCCCAAGAGGGGCCCAAGACGGCCCCAAGAGCGCCCCAGGAGCGCCCCGAAGAGGCGAGTTTGAGGGCCGACGGGGGGGCGCAAGTGAGCGCCGCCCCGTTCTTAATCGACGGCCTCCAAGATGGCCCGGAGAGGCCCCCAGGGTCTCCAAGATGGCCCCACGAGAGCCCCACCCAGACCTCCACCACCCCTCCACCACCCGCCCCCCCCCCTTTCCTGATCGAAGGCCTCCAAGATGGCCCAAAGAGGGCCTCCAGGGCCTGCAAGATGGCCCCGAACGAGCCCCGCCCCTGCCTCCACAACCCCTCCACCCCCCCTCCAAATCCCCCACTCCATTCCCCCCCTCCAACCCCCCCTCTGCCCACGACAAAAATGCCAAAGAGCTCCATAGTTCCCTCTTCTCTTTCCAGAGATAACGGCTGCCCTCTTGATCCACTGCATGCTGCTACACCTCCCTGACCAGGGTAACTCCCCTGACAACGTTTTGGGGATGGGCTAGGGGGGCACGCGAAACGTCAACCACTGCAAGGAGGTTCCGCCTAGAACTTACAGCTGCAGCCCGATAACCACTCGGGCACTCAGAAGTACCAATTGCAAAAGCAAGTCCTCACGGCGGTCTGCTCGGGCTCTCGGAATCCCTTCGCGTATCGTCCTCGTGCTGGAGGTGGCGCCTTGAGCTCTACATCCAGACGGACGCGTCATGGCCAAGAAGTCTTGATTGCTGGCGAGAGGTTCTGACTCTTCCTGCCACTCGATTAGTCCTCATCTGGTATCGGGTGTCCCTATCTATAGCTGAACCTCTGAATGGAGATCCTGCAATCTGCCTTGCAAGCATTGCAAGGAGCTTCCACCTACCAACTACAGCTTCAGCGAAACCAGTCAACACTCGGACACTCAGAAATACCAATTGCAAAAGCAAGCCCTCACGGCGGCCTGTTCGGGCTCTCGGAATCCCTTCGTGTATCATCCTTCTGCTGGAAGTGGCGCCTTGAGCTCGACATCCAGGTGGGCGCGTCATGGCCCAAGCGTCTCGGTTGCCGGCGATAACCTCGGACTCTTCCTATCACGAGACAAATCTACATCCGGGATCGGGTGTCCCTATCTATAGATTATCACCAAATCCTCTGCACGGGGATCCTGTGACTTGCCCTGCAAACTTTGCAAGGAGGTTCCACCTACAAACTACAACTGTCACGAAACCCCACCACCGCTCGGGCACTCAGAAGTACCAATTGCAAAAGCAAGCCCTCACGGAGGTCTGCTCGGACTCACGAAATCCCTTCGCGTATCATCCTCGTGCTGAAGATGGCGCGCTGAGCTCGACATCGAGGCGGATGCGTCATGGCCAGAACGTTCTGTTTGCCGGCGGGAGGCTCGGACTTTTCCTATCATGAGATAAATCCTCATCTGGTATCAGATGTCCCTAACTACAGCTTATCGTCACAGCCTCTGAATGGATATCCTGCAACTTGCCCTACAACATTTGCAAGGAGGTTCCACCTACCAACTAAAGCTGCAGCGAAACCCACATCACCACTCGGGCACTCAGAAGTACCAATTGCAAAAGCAAGCCCTGATGGCGGTCTGCTCGGGCTCTCGAAACCCCTTCATGAATCATCATTGTGTGTGGCGCCTGGATCTCGCCATCCAGAATGGCGCGTCATGGCCAAGAAGTCTTGATTGCTGGTGAGAGGCTCGGACTCTTCCTATCACGAGGTGCATCATCATTGTCGGATGACCCGATCTATAGCTCACCCTCTGAATGGAGAACGTGCAAACCTTGCAAAAGTCGCAAGGAGGTTCCACCTACCGACAACATTGCAGCGAACTCCCACCACCGCTCGGGCATTCAGAAGTACCAATTGCAAAAGCAAGCCCTCACGGCGGTCTGGTCGGTCGCACGAAATCCCTTCGCGTACCATCCTCGTGCTGGAGATGGCGCCCTGAGCTCGACATCGAGGCGGATGCGTCATGGCCAGAAAATTCTGATTGCCCGCGAGAGACTCGGACTCTTCCTATCACGAGATACGTCCTCATCTGGTGTCGGATGTCCCTAACTAGTTACAGCTTATCGTCACAGTCTCTGAATCGGTATCCTGCAAATTGCCCTACAACATTTGCAAGGAGGTCCCGCCTACCAACTAAAGCTGCAGCGAAACCCACATCACCACTTGGGCACTCAGAAGTACCAATTGCAAAAGCAAGCCCTCACGGCGGTCTGCTCGGGCTCTCGAAATCCCTTCATGTATCATCCTTGCGCGTTGCGCCTTGAGCTCGCCATCCAGGCGGGCGCGTCACGGCCCAAAAACCTGGACTGCTGGCGAAAGGATCGGACTCTTTCTATTCACGATATGGTCCTCATCTGATATCGGATGTCCCACCAGCCCTTCAGCGCGTGAGTGGTCTACGGAGCTCCCCTTCGGGGAGGAAGGTCCCCCTCCCCCTACCCCCTACCCCATGGGTCTGGAGGAGCTTTTTGCGAGGGATGGGAGCATACAAGAGGGCTCGAGATGGCGCCAAGAGGATCCCAAATAATCCAAGATGGCCTCAAAGATGATTCAAGATAGCCTCCAACATACCTCCAAGAGCCCTCAAGACTGCCCCAAGACGGCTCCAAGTGTTCTCCGAGCCTCTGGAGGACCCCAGGAAGCAAAAACCACTCAAAACCAGTATGGTGTTCAACGCGGTTGACCTTCCCGCCCTTTCGCTGCCGATGGGCTCTTGGGGCCTAAAATGGCTCCAAGATGGCCCAGGAGAGCCCCAAGAGGGGCCTAAGGGAGCCCCAAGAGCGCCCCAGGAGCGCCACAAGAGCGCCCTAATAGTGCCCCAAGAGGCGGGTTTGATGGCCCAGACGGGTGGACGCAAATAAGCGCCGCTCCTTTTCTAATCCAATGCCTCCAAGATGGCTCAGAGAGGGCCCCCACCCCGGTCAAGATGGCCCCAAGAGAACCTCAACCCCCTGTGTTTATGGATGACGGCGACAGGCTTTACGATGCCTTGACGCCCTCGGCCGGAGGCTGAGAAACTACTGTAGGGTGAGGAGGACACCGGCCAAGAATCGCCTAAGGCGAAGCTGCCCCAGGCCTCCTCCAACCCCCTTCCACACCCCCTCCACACCCGCTCCACACACCTCTACCCCCTACAAAGTTGCCGAAGAGCTCCAGGCAAGCTCCTACAGATCAAAGTGTTTCTTTCCAACGGTAGCGGCTGCCCTCTTCTTGTTCCACTGCATGCTGCTACACTGTCTGACCAGGGACCTCCCCTGGCGACTTCTTTTGGATGGGCTGGTGGGGATACGCGAAACTTCAAGACAATTCCAGGATGATCCGCCTACCAATTGAAGCTACAGCGACTCCCCATCACAACTCGGGCATTCAGAAATACCAATTGCAAGCAAGCAACTCGGGCATCACAACTCGGGCATTCAGACTCCCCACCACAACTCGGGTCCAAGCAAGCCCTCACGGTGGTCTGCTCGGACTCTCGAAATCCCTTCGTGTATCATCCTCGTGCTGGAGGTGGCGCCTTGAGCTCGACATCCAGGCGGGCGCGGCATGGCTAAGATCTCTGATTGGCGGCGAGAGGCTCGGACTCTCCCCATCACGAGATACAACCTCATCGGGTATCGGATGTCCCTATCTATAGCTTACCTATACGACCACCCTTCGGGTGATAAGGAGGTTCGGGGGGGAGGAACCAACGTCTCACTCGATCGGTCCCACTATCGATCTCACTATCAATCTCACTATCGGTCTCGCTCGATCGATCTCACTCGATCGATCTCACTCGATCTATTTCATTCGACCGATCTCACAATCGATCTGACTATCGATCGCACAATCGATCTCACTATCGATCTCACTATCAATCTAACAATCGATCTCACATGCGATCTGACTATCGATCTCAATATCGATACCAGCAACCGATCTCACAATCAACGTCATCATCATCATCATCATCATCATCATCATCATCAACATCATCATCGTCATCAACGTCATCAACATCATCATCATCATCGGGACACCATCATCAGCATCACATCATCACCATCATCAACATCATCATCATCACCATCATCATCAACACTATCATCGGGAGACCATCATCGTCACCATCATCATCATCAACATCATCATCATCGGAACTCCATCAACCTCATCATGATCGGAACACCACCATCATCATCTCTTCATCACCATGAACAACAGCATCAACATCATCATCACCATCGGGACACCATCATCATCATCAGCAACATCATCATCATCATCGGGACA